GTGTCTCCATGCCCCATCTGCCTGCAGACAGGGGAGGAGTCGTCCATCCCTCAGGCTGATCTCCCCGCCCAGCCCTGCTTAACCACCCCAGGAAATATCTGAGCCAAAACAAGACCGAGGACCTCAACACGGGCTGGGTACCAGCATCCGAGGCAGGACACGCAGCTCCAAGTGACAGGGATGAAGCACTGCCCAGGGGGACGCCCAGGGCAGCTGTGAGAAACTCATCGCTGCTTAGGTAATTAAATTAATTTCACAGCTACTCACTTTTCTCCCCCAGCTCCCCACCCCAGACTAAAATTAGCCAGACAGTACATATGAGTCAGCCTGCAAGAGGTTAAGACCAAACGGCTGTGAAAATGCCAGCCCCTCCTGCAAAGGTGGGGGCTGAAGCGAGGCAGGAGCCAGGGACTCGGGGAGGGGGGACAGCTCACGCGGGAGCGCGTGTGCAAGCATACGTGTGCCACAGCGAGGTGTGTGACCATGGGCACGTGTTCGAGTCGTTTGGTTCAATATGGGAAAAAAGAAAGAAAAAAAAACTGGGAAGTTTCAGGCAGGGTTTTTTTAGGTTGAAAAAATCAGACCTTGCCTCCTAGTGTTTTCTTGGAAGAGGCTCTGGACATGGGAAGATGGTGGGAGAATAGAGAGGCCTTGAGTCATCGGGGGGTGGGCAGTCATTCAGGAATCCCGAATCTGAGCAGGGCTGTGCTCCAGTCAGAAATCCCCAGCACTGCGACTGCATCGGGCTGTTTTAAAGCCTCCTCGGAGGTGGCAGCCGGGCCCTGAGCTCCTGCGCTGCCAGAGCATCCCCCGGTCCCAGGAGCAACTGAGCAGAGCCCAGTGGGGCAGGGATCCTCGTGGAGCATGTGGCTGGGTGCAGAGGGTGTTAAGCCAAAGATTTGTTAAGCCAAAACACCTGTCCCTGCTCAGGACTGCAGATTCAACCCCCCAAAAACCATCATGCTATCCAAGAGGAAGAAGGACAAAAGCAGGGCAACAGACTGGCGGGGGCCCCTCAGCCCAGCCAGTGCGGGGTCACCAGACATCCTTTAATGGACTCAAGAAGCCATCGCTGAAAAATCAGCTCTGGAAACAGAACATTTTCTTCAAGCAAACACTTTCTCCAACATTACACAACGTTCGGGTTTGGGTTATGTGCATTTTGTGGAACTCCAGGGGAGAAACACTGACAGGTCCCGGGGCTGTGGGAAGTGTTGCAAACTCACCGAGAAGAGACATCGTCTCCCCAAAACCCATCTTGAACACATAGTTCCCCATCCCGGCCCTGAGGGCCCAAAGTTTCATTAAAGAAGAAAGCAAAACCACACAACAACTGTTAGATAGCAGGCGGCACTTCAGGGAATTGCAGCCGCTCCCGAAGCCTCCATCCCCCCGGAAGATGTGACACCCCGGAGCCTGCAGTGCCCCCACCATCGGCAGAGCCGCCCCCCAGCTACCGTCCCAGCTCAGCCCAGTCCTCGGATGGGAGAGGTGGGGGAAATTTGGGCAGCCTCCCGGCTGGCGGATGATACACACCAGCTGCCAGCGCTGTGCCGCTGCCCAGCTGGCTGAGCCGGCAGCACGCTGGTGGCCTCTGCGCCTGGTGACCTTTTGTGCTGCACTTCGGTTTACTTTTGCTCCCAATGGCAGCAGCAAAGCCAGAAGGGAAGGGCAGGAGCCTAAAACCAGGGCTGCTGCTCCCAGCCCCCCACCAGGCTCGTCCGAAGCTGGCCATGACGTGCCAGCATCCCCAGCGTGCCGCCAGTGAGGATGCCGTGCACTGACAAACAGCTCTCAGCCCCCATAGACAATCGCCACCCAATGTGACAGACCTCCGGCTCCAATTTAGACACTGGGGGAGCCAACCATGACATGAGGCATGACGTTCCCTTCCTCGAAAGGGAGCGGTACCGGCAAGACTCAGGCTCCTACATCCCTGGGGGCCAGTGCAAGGGAGGGCTGCTGGTGCAGACAGCCGGAGCCTGCTCTGAGCAACGGTCCCAACAGTGGGGATGAGCAGGGAAGAGAAAGACAGAGAAAGAAAAGCCTTTCTTACCTTCTTCAGAGCCACCGCCCGCCTCCCCTTCTAGCTCTGAGACAGAGGGGCAGGGGAGCGATGGGAGCAGGGAGAGGAGGAAGAAGGGAGGTGCGAGACAGAAAGAAAGAGAAATCCAAGTTAAGCAGCTTTGCCTTAGTCAGACAGGGGCACACAGAGTGCAAAGGAGAGCCCCACACCTCCCCGACACTGCACCTCAAACTGAACTCCTGGCTTCGGGCACCCCCAGGGCCCACCTGGGCATCCCAGAGATGATGTCCAAACCCCAAGAGGCTGGTTTCAGGTGGGGAAGAGGGAACAGAGGGGAGCCACTACAAAGGGCTGCTCCGGGAAACCCAGCAAGCACCAAAAAAAGCATCAGCTCGCCCTTGGGGGCAAAGCGAGAAGGGTCTCACTGGGTGGGCTCAGCCAAGCCGTGCCCCCCAGGCTCAGCCAGGTTTTGGGGGGGTTACACTCAGCTCTGAGATGGCCCAGGAAGGGTCCCCAGGTGCTGGGGAGCAGTGAGGTCTGGCTTGGCAGGCTGCTCTGGGACATGTCCCCACGAGAGCAGGGCCTTTGCACCCAGAGACCATTCTCCGGGATGGAGTGGGCTCTGGATACTGTTCCGGCTGACAGGCTCAGCTCCCAGAGAGCAAACCCTCTCCGGCTGTGCTGGGGAGAAGGGATGGAGCGGGTGAGGGAGGGAGGAGTATGAGGCTGGGGAGGAGGCAGGACCCTCAGGGCAGCACCAACATCCTCCACCCTCACACAGTCCCAGAGTCCCCACGGGAGGTGACAAGGACCCCAGGGCTACCTGGCCCCAAAAGGGAGGCAGAAGTGCCTTCTCCAGCCAGAGGACCCTTCCAGGGGTATCCTCACAGATGCCCCCCTCCCAAAAACCACCTGTAGCCCACGTGCCTGCACTCACCTCCCACTGGATGCAGCAGGATCTCGGCTGGGTTGTGGGGTTTCAGCCCTAGCGCTGAGAGTGGGGTCTTGGCCAGGCCAGGGGGAGAACGCACTGTCGGCACGGAGGATACAAGAGCATTAGTGGAGGGGTGGGAGGCAAAGCTTCAGAAAGGCCCCATGACCCATCCCACCCACCAGCTGCAATCAGGGGCTGCCAGGAAGAGCCCTTGTGTGAAGTAGCACCCCGTGGAAGAGCACCAATCCCCCTCTCCATCTGGGGATGCACACAGGGCGGGAGGTGGCCGGGAAGAAGCAGTCTGCCCCATTGCGGGGCTGGCAGGATGGAGAAAGGGGGCAATTCCTACCAGGGCAGGCCCAGACCCCATCTCCCAGCAGCATCCCCACGAGGGAATGGTCCCACCATAGGCACGAAGCCTCTTTCTTTGCCCATGTGCAAGCAGCTGCCCCCCCCAACCCCACAGTCACAAACCTTAACCCCCCTCTGCCAATCTGTCTGTCTGAGCTGGGACCGGGCTGTCCCGGAGCAGCTCATCACCCCCACAAAAGGGGCAGCAGGACTGCCAGAAAAACCCCCACCCGCCAGACCAGCTCGACAGGTGGGTGAGGATGTTCACACAGGGCATGTTCCCTGAGGGGTGGCAATGCAAACATGAGGTCTGTACCCCTGTGCCCATACGTACATACCAGGAGGAGCTGCGTATGTATGTATGACTATGGTATGGATGCACCAGCAGTGCGGGGCGGCAGGGTTTCACGGGGCTGGGCGGACCACCCTGAGCCAACCGTGCCTCCTCTCCCCTCCTCCCTCCCGGGTTTGACCCATCTCCCTGATGCTGCATCTCCCCGGGGGAGACCTCCAGGTCTCATCTCCAGCAAAAGGGACCGGAGGGCACATCCCTCCATCAGCATTTGAACGTCCCCGACTGGTGGTGCGGGCACAGGGCCCACAGTGAAGCCGGGAGGCGGCGGATGGTGGGTGCTCCGGAGGAAAGCCAGACCCTTGCCCCGAGGCCAAGTCCCCCAGGCAGCCTGAGGCTGGAGCAGCCGAGCAGCCGAGTCCCTGGGAAACTGAGATGGCAGCGCCTTCCCCAGCGGGTGTCCGATTTCCCCAAATCTGGTCTGCTGCAAGCCGCAGTGTCAGCTCACGCCTCTGTTGGCTGACGAGTGGCAGGGTCCTCCTGGGGCCGGGAATTCCCCCGGGACCACTGTCTCCCCATGGAGGGAAATCTCTCCTGCATCTCTCCCCAGGGGGCACTTTGGCGAAGCCTGCAAGCTGCAGCTTCAAACCTCCCAGTCCAGCACTGGCCAAGAAGCACTGCCTCCAGGCCACATCCCCAGCCAGGCTGTTCCCGTCACCTCTGTAAGTGACTCATCTCCCAAAACGAGCCAAGGAGCTGCTGCCCCGGGGCCAAGCTCTCCGGGTCCCCCGAACAACAGGGCCATTTCCGAGCTGCCAAACGCCCCGGGGACGCTCTGAGATAGGGCTCAAACGCCAGTGGATTGCAGGGGAGGAACAGCAACAGCGCAGGAGGAAACAGCCAGCCCCATGGTGGGCTGAGCTATGGGGGGGCAGGCGGCCCCGTTGTGACCAGGACATGGCATCAGAGGGGGCTGCGCCCAGCCCGAGGGGGGGGGATAGGGGGAGGGGCTGCCATCTTTTTGATGGGTATCCCAGTTGAACCGGCTGCTCCGTTGCACTGGTGCAGCCCGAGTCGTGCTGCGCCGACGTGAGGCTGCTCATCGGGGTTAGTCACTTGAGCCAGTCACACAAACCCGGTCCACACAAACCCACCACGACTGCGCAGTCAGGGTTAGTCAGAAAGGAGGCATGCCACACCAGAGGAGAGGAGACAAGCTGCATGCAAAGGGCTGGCATCTCCCAGTCTTTTCACCTTCCTGCCCTGGAAACAGCAAGCGAGAAGTGGCACAGCATGCGAGGGTCTGCCCTGAGCTCCCTCCCGGTCTTCAGTCCCTCCTGCCTCCCCCTGGCTCGCCTGCTACCGCAGCCTTGCTGCCCTTCTTGCCATGCCAGTAGGAAAGATGGGGAGGTACAGCACTGGGATGGGGTGAAAGGATGCTGTCTTTTGGAACCTGCCTCTCTCCTTATCCCACCTTGGGATCCTATCCAAGAAACGCCCCAGTGAGTGGAGCATGGGAAAAAGCCAACAGGAGGGTGCCGAGCATGGGATGCTGATGGCAGTGGGATGCTGATGGCAACATGGAGTGGTGGGATGCGGAGGAGAGAGGAGGATGGAGAGAAGGAGTGATTAACATGGTGGTGGGTGTCTGGAGCCCGGAGCTGTCTGACCCTTGGCAAACTTCTGGCTTGCCGAGAGCCACCCACCAAGCCCCTCCGCCTTCCGGAGCCGCAGCACTTACAGGGGTTGGAGTAAGGGGTTTGTGGCGAGACAGGGAAGGCTGGGGTGGGGGGAGAAATCTCACCGCCGCCAGAGGGTGGGCTGGTGGGGGAGGCACCCTCCATCTCTTCGAAGGCTTCCTTGTAGCTGTGGAGGTGAGGCTGGGGAGAGCAGGAGAAAGGGTCAGTCCCACTCCTATGATGGGCACGACCCTCCAGGACACCACCACAAGCATCATTAACCCCCAACCCTGCAGGATGCCATGGATGCTAAAAGTCCCATACGTCCCTCCAAGCCTTCTCCCTCCCCGGAGGTGGCTGCACCCCACCAGCGAGCACCTCCCCCCAGCACCCTCCCCACCCCGGCACACCTCTTTGGGCCTCCCTCCAGGGTTGGCCGCAATGGTGCTGACCACCTCAGGCGAGAGGACGGTGGGGCTGCGGGGCGAGCTGGGCTCCGGTGAGCTCTTCTCATAGTGGCTGTCGCTAGGGGTCCGCTTGCGGGCAGGGACGGCACTCTCCTCCGGGGGCTTCTCCCGGGACTGCACCCCTGCGGGGCAAGCACAGGGTGGGAGATGGGTGAGGAGGTGCCAGCTAAGATGGGGACCAGCAGGAGGTGCTCCGGGGCTGATCCGAGAGGTCTCCCCAGAGCCGTGTGTTGTGAAGTGGGCTCTGCCCGGCAGAGATGGCAGCTTCAGCACTCACCTGCATCTAACCCCAAGACCAGCACAGTGAGTTTTGAGCTGGAGCAGCTATACCCTACAGCGGTGGTCCCAGGCCAAGCAAAAAAGCAAGGCAGGGTTGTGGCTAGTGGCTGGATCACTGCATTAGCCCTCCCAAGCACCTCGAATTTTGGGCTCAGGGACAGCATCCCCCGGCAGTGGGTGCGAGGGGCAGGAGCATCCTGCGAGCAGGCCAGCGAGCCAGCCCAGCCCCACCAGCCAGGAGAAGGGGACGCTGCCTGCCCCCGCCCCGCAGAGCTGGCGAGGACCAGAACCTCCTGACAGCGTCATGGCGGGAAAGGGATGAATCCCCCAGGACTGGGGTGGCCGCGTTCAGCTGCATCCCTGCTCCCACATCTGCACGCAGCTTCAACCACAGCAGTGGAAAAAGCCCATTTTTGTGAGTCCCCAAGGCAGAGGGAGCACCGGGTCAGGAGGAAGGACCCCAACAGAGGGATGGTGCAGGGAACCCCAACAAACCACTGCTGATCTCCTACCCCTAAAAGGGGAGATCGGCATCTCCTCTCCATCTCCCCCCAAACCTCCTTCCCAGACCCCAGCACCACCAGCCACCAGTGCCCACAGCCTGGGGCAGTGCCAAGGGCCTCCGAGACCCCGCGGGGAAGAAGGGAGAGAGCAAGTCACCGCGGGAGAAGGGGTTTCTCCGGGCTGTCGGGATCTGGTAGATCCCGTTGGCGATCCCCATGTGCTGCGATAAAGCCCAGGAACGGGGCAAAGCCAGCGCAGGGCAGGGTGCTTGGGGGGCTGGGATGAGGGGTGCGACCCCAACTGTCCCAGCACCCAACAGGGCCCAAACACACTCTCCGCCCCATCTCGCCTGATGAAGAGGTTAATTAGGGCTCAGGGACGATGGTGCTGGGTTCGGTGAAGGGGAACCATGCAGAGCATCACGGGCACAGCTCAGAGCCCCGGAGGACTCCTGTTCCTCCCTGGGACCCACACAGCAGCAGGGTAGCCCCTGGTCTCAGCCCCACTAGCAGAGGTGACAGCACTGTCCCCTCCGCCTTTCCCGGAGAGCCGGGGAGTGCTCACACTCCCCTTGGCCCAGCACATTGGGGGAAAAAAAAAAAGATAAAAAGGAAAAAAAAAAAAAAAAAAGCCAGCATCACGCTCCAGGAAATGCACTTTTCAAACACCAACTCCTTTCCCACGGGCTGGCGGAGGAAAACCAGCCATCAGCTGCTTCCCCTTGCTCCCCGGGGCTCCATGCGGGACCCACGCCTCGCGCCCGCTGACCTCCCCTCTTCACTGCTCCGGCACCCGCACCAGCGCTTTCCCGGCCCCGGGGAAAGGGCTGGGAGCGCAGGAGGGAGGGAGGTGGCCTGGGTGCATTTCTAAATAATCAGCCCAGTGAATGGCAACAACAATAAAATCACAGCTCGGGGGGAGAGGCGGCCGGGCTGCAAGGCAGGGGACGCAAGCCAACGGGGCTGGCTCCAGCCGCGGAGGCGGCCTGGAAAATTCCACTAAGAGCGGCTTTGAAACACAACTCCCCGATCCCTTCTGCAGGTGCTCGCCGGCGCGGGGGACAGCCATTAAAAAGGCCTGCGGAGGGGACAGAGAGGGTCTCTGGGAAGCCACCCTGCAGGCGCAGTGGCCATGGGTAGCATCATATAGAGCCACCCTATATCTTTTTCCCTGCTCCTCGCTTTAAGGGAACAAAGCCCTGAATTGTGAGCATAGGAAGAAACAAAATGGGGGAGGAAAAATAAAGCAAACCCTTACATTTTATTTTCACCCCTCCACTTTGTGCACTCTGGAGTGTCCTGCGTGCTGCAAGAGCATCACCAGGAGCATCCCTTGGCCCATCCCAAAGTGAGCTGCAGCGACCAAGCGCTGCAGAAAGGCAGGGACCAGGCTCCTTGAGTCGCGCACGCCTGCCTCACTTTGCATTTTTCATTTGGGAAGCACAAACAGCAGCTCACCAGAGCCCGGCTGTCAGTGCACATCACACAGCTACAGCGTGGGACCCCCCGCTCCATCCTCCGGGCTGCATGTCACCCAGCTGCAGGGTGCTGGATCTGGCCCGTCAGGACACCCAGGAGCTCACCGGGCTTTGGCTGCTCCGCTCCCTAGACATGGAAAGCAGCCGGGGCCGCGGGGAGGGGAGGGAGGAGAGGGGAAAAAAGGGACTCATTGTTCGGGAGCCGAGAGTGGGAAACTTCACGGGCCGCCCAGAGCAAAACCTGGAGGAAACCCAGGCTCTGAGCGTGGCTCCCCCGACCCCCTGGGTGATTTATGGGCTGGAAACTACACTTGAAAAACAAACTCTCCTTTACCCCGCTCACTGTACCCCCTCAGCAGACATACAGCCTCCCTCAGCCATGGTACCACCACCAACCCCCCAAGGATGCCCTGCCCGACTGCGGGAGGATGGGTGCCCATCACAAAGGGGGAACAGCAGCCTGCACCCCGCTCCCCACCCTCGCCCCCACCACCTCTGGCACTGCCACCCCTTCTGCTGCCCATTTAACTCCCTAACCTGGCAGCAACCCTCTCCCAGTAAAGTCCTGCCCTTGGACTAAACACAGCTCAAGGGCTGGGGAAGGGCAGGAGCACAACAGCGGGGGGAGGAGGAAACAGGAGGGATTTAAACCCAGGTGGTTTTGCAGCTGGGGAGCCTGGTTTCTGGGCCAAATCAGGAGGCAGCTGCTTTTTGGGCATAAGATGCTGGAGCTACTGCCAGGCAAGAGCCAGGCAATGCCCCCACAGTGGACAGGAGAGGGCAAAGCAGCATCCCATGGCCCTTGGGATGCGGCACCCAGCAGTTAAAGCCACACAGGGACACACGATGCCCAGGGAAAAGAGAGATGCAAACTCGCTCCCTGCCTGCATGAGGAACAGCAGCAGACATTGCCCTGTACCGCTCTCCGCCAGAGCCCAACTCGTCCCATCCCACCGGGCACAGTGTACTGCTCCCCTCCTCACAGGGCACTTCATTGATGTGGCCGTCCATGTTTCACCCCAAAACGAGCACAGCCGGGGGCCCTCCCTCGCCCAACCCCCAGCTGCAGATGGACCCATGGGAGAAACGCCCAGACTGAGGCAAGTGAGACCCTGCTGGGCCAGGAGCTGGCTGAACCAGGGGTCTGCGGAGCCGCACCCCAGCCCTTGCCTCCCTGAGGGGTGAGCCATGGCCAGGGCAAAGCTCAGAGGGGCTGGAGCAAGGGTCCGGATCCAGCCCAGCAGTGAAACCCCACCAGAGAGCAGTGCCAAGCTTGGATGAGATGCAAAACCAAGCGTGGGCAGGGGAGTCTGTACCCAGGGCCAGGGGCTCCCCCATCACTGGAGAAGGTCAAGGGGGCCCTGAGCATCGCCCTGCTGAGAAAGGGGATCGAGCCTGCATGGGGAGGGTCTCCCGAGCCTCCCTCCATCCCACATCCATGCAACACACGGAGCACTCAGCATGCAGGGATAGGGGAGGAAGGAGGGATGAGGGGGAAGGAGGGAGGAGAGAGAAGGGAAAAGGAAGGAAGCATGAGAAGGAAGGAGGGAGGAGAGGGATGGAAGGAGAAGGATGGATGGGGAAGGATGGAGGACAAGGAAGGAGGGAGGTGGAATGAACGAACCGGAGAAGGAGAAGGACCGTTGCTGGTTCAGAGGAGGACGGGGGACTTTGGTGCTCTTGTTGAGGTCCCTGAGCTTGGCGTTGTACTCTGCCAGCATACCAGGACGGGGGGTGCAAGGAGGGTGGGAGATCACAGGGGACAGACACAGTCCCCCATGGGGAGAGGAAGGGGCAGACAGGAGAAATGTCACGAGATACAATAGGGAGAGAGAGAGAGAAAACAAGAGAAAATATTAGTCAGGCTCCAACAGGTGAGCCTGAAGTCGCTTGGGGTCCAAGGGAGCTCAGACCCCGCTTGGAGCTGCTTTCACATCACCCAAATTGCCTGGCTCCAGGCACCACTTAAACCCACATGGGAAATCAATGGTGGCTCCCAGCCACACGTGGCCTTGTACAACGCCACAAATGCCCCATCAGTGTCCCCTTGGGGACGGCACTGTGCAGGTCCCCTCCATCATTGGATGCCTGGGGCTGGGACAAGAAGGGATGACCCCAGATGCCTCGCAGGGAGATGATGGGGACTGCAGAACAGCAGGACCAGCTCCTTTCTGCAAGAAGGCGCTGGGGATGCCAGCGCTGCCCCATCCCATCTCTTCCCCTCCTTCACCAGCTGGAAGCGGGAATGGGAGTGCTCCCCCACCGGGCATGGAGGAGGTGTGAGATGCTCCTCGTCGCTGCGCTGGGACACACAGGCAATTTATAGCAGCAGAGAATGTAAACAAACCCATCCGTGCCCCGCCGTCCCCATCAGCTGTTCCCTCCCGGCGCTGGCTTTAGGACACCTCGTTCCTGCCGGAGGTCAGGCCACCCGCCCGCACTGTCACCGCCTCGGCACAGACGGCCAGGCTCCAGCGGGGACAGGTGGCCGTGGGCTGGGGACCGTCCCTGGGACACCTCTCCTCAGGAAGCCCAAGCGGCTGCAGGGGGTTGAGAGCGACCCCAGCCCAGCCTTGAGGACCTGACCCCAGGGTTGGGGGGGATGGATGTTTTGGTAGACACCATCAAACATCCGTTACCCACCCACTGCAAATACTGCTCCTCCTCTCCTGGGGCTCTTCTCTTTTCCACCCCATTTTTTTCCCTCCATACTTGCAGGGGGAGATCTGCTCCTTATAATATTCAGTCCAGACATACAGCGTGGTTTGGACATCCCTATGTTCTTGGGTTTGTTTAAACCCTCTGCACAAGCCCTGGGTCCCTCTGTGGATCCAGCCTGGATCACTGAAGTCGGGTTCAGATGGATGCAAACTGCCCCCAACACCTCTGCGTCCCTCCACATCCCCCTTCCCATCTGCTGGCACCCCTCCTGCCCCCCGCCCCGGTGTTGCAGTGACTCAGCCCCCGCACCTAGGAGGTTGGTGCTGTTGGATTTTTCCAGCCAAGCCTTTCCCCCCTCTCTCTAATGCCAGGCGAGTTTCTGGACTGAGCGCAGAGCTGGAAGGGACGGAGCTGCCAAGCCCCAGCATCACGAGCTGGCCCCCAGCCTGGCTGCAGCTCCGAACCCTTCCCAAATGTGGCTCCGCAATTCAACAACTGCAGCCAAAGCAGCGGGGAGGGAGGGCACTGAGCTGCCGCAGGGCCACGGCACCTCCTTCCCAGGGGGCTTGGACCCTCTTCATCCCCAAAGCCCCTGAGCCAGAGCCGCAGGAGGGCAGGGAGTCAGAGGACGCAGTTTCCCCTCTGCAACACAGAGCAAACACCTTCATCCAGCCACGGCACCAATGCTCAGCGCTGCACCCAGCCAAGCATTGCACCAAACCTCCCTGGCAGGGCTGGGAAATGCCTTCCCAGACCTTGACCACCGCCCCAAGGCCAGTTCCAGCTTCAAACCACCCAGGGCCAAGCTGGCTGGGCCACCAGGACGGAAAGGCTGCTGCCAGCCTGCACCCTGGCCCCCCTGCTCTGGCAGCACCCTGGCTGCCCAGGGAGGTAGTCCGAGCACCAAGCCTAGCACGCTGCGGGGAAAGCAGGGGCTGAAATCAGGAAGGAGCCCAGCTACATTAAACACAAGGCAAGTGCTGTGCTGTGACCTTACACCAGAGCACGCTCCAGGCAGGGAGAACTTCATGTCCAAGGCAGAGTCCAGGCAGGACACCCTCAGCCAGAGCTGAAAACATCTTCCCAAACTGGGCCATATTCTCCCCGAAAGGGAGAAATCCCCCTGGGACCCAGTGAGTGGCCCTGCCACAGGGGACAGACCAGCCCCATACCCCAAAGGGGTGAGGATGGCGAGGCCCAACCCCCTCGGCCACCCCTTCTCCCTACCTCTGGGCGATGCTGCTGCGGTCGGCAAGCTGCAAGGGGGGGTCTCGACAAAGGAGAGCAGCACAGGCTGCCCCCCTACCCGGCGTGCCCCCACGGCGGGTGGCTCAGTCCCAAGCCCAGATCCGGCACGGATGAGGAGTCGCCGCATCTCCCATCCCCAGCTCCACCATGCATGCCACCCCCGCGGGCTCCGGCTTCTCGGGACACGCAGTCCCCCCTGACCCCCCCAAGGAATCAAAGCATCCTACCTGCCACCCTGTGGGCCACCAGGCCCTCCAGATTCAAGGGCTCTTCTGCCGACCTTGACAGGTCTTCGTAGCTCTCCGGTCCCTTGGGGGGCATCTGGGTTTGTGGTGGGACAGTGGGGGAAGGCGGAGAGGACACAAGGAGCTGCTGAGACCCGACTGGGCTGTAGGAGGTGCTGAGCGGGAGGATGCCCATCGGTGCTCCGGCTGGGGCATGGCTGTAGCTCCTTGGCTCTGGCACCGGTGCCGGCTGGTAGCTGTAGGGCAAATAGGTTTCCCGATACTCGTGCACCCCATAGTCCGGCTCCCCGGGAGAATAGGCTTTACCCCCAGGCTCGGAGACCACGGGGCTCACGGAGGTGCCAAAGGACCTCGGCTGGACCACTTGTGGAGCTGGCCGGGTGTAGAGACCGGCAATGGGCTGGGCCGAGAGGGAGGAGAGCAAGGGTCCTGCTGGCTTGTCCTGGCGGAAGGCGGCAGGGACGCTCTGCGATTTGTGCACGGCAGGCGCAAGGTCCAGCATGAGGACGTCGAGCGCTTCAATGGACTGCTCAATCTCCCGGCGGGAGGGCGCCCGGGGGAATTCGGGCATGCTGTGGCTGTGCGGGGGCACCGGCTGCAGCGGGCTGGGCTGGGGGCTGCAGCTGGAGACGCTGGGGCTGTGGCTCTCCACGCCACCCTCCTGCAGCCGGGAAGGCGGCCGGCTCCCTCCTTGCTGCTGCCAGGAATTCAAGCCCCTCTGTACAGCCTCCCGGCTGCTGGCAGGTGGAGTCGCTGGGGCTGTGGCTCTCCACGCCACCCTCCTGCAGCCGGGAAGGCGGCCGGCTCCCTCCTTGCTGCTGCCAGGAATTCAAGCCCCTCTGTACAGCCTCCCGGCTGCTGGTGCTGCGAGCCGGGGCCTGGGGCAGCGCTGGGGTCGCATCGTACTTGGCCGTGTCCACCGCTGGGAAGGACCGGGAGCGGTAGGCGCCAGGGGGGTCGTAGCCGTATAGGTAGGGCTGGGAGCCGGGCAGCGGCTGGGGCTGGAGCCAGCCTGGGGCGTGGGAGCCTGGCGGGCGCTGCGGGTAGCCGGCCAGGTTGTCCTGAGTGGATGCTGAGGGCTGCAAGGGAGGCAGCGGGTCACGGAGGTGGTGGCCCATCAGGGTGTTCTGGTTGTTGTAAGGGTAGCCGCCGTTGGAGAGCGGCTCACCGTCGTACAGCCCCTCCTTCAGCAGCTTCTCGGCCCTGTTGCAGCTCGAGGGGCCATTGGGCAGGGAGGAGAGGCTGCCCACCCGGGGCGCCTCCTGGTAGCCGGCCTCACTGGCAGTGGTGGTGCCATCCAAGGAGGAGAGCGTGCCCAGGCTGCCCACGCTGTGCCCATCCTGGTTGGGCAGCTCGTCGTCCAAGATATCCGTCTCCCGCTCGGCCACCAGTGCCGCAGCGTTCCCGTTGACGTGCACCTGAGCCGGCACCACGTGGATGGCAGGCAGGCGTGCCGGCACGGGGCCGGGCGCGTGGTTGTGCATGGGCGGCGCGCTTTCTAAGCCGAAGCCGACAAGGAGACGATCCAGCTCCCGCTTCTCCTCAGGGCTCAGCACTGCCTGGCTGCCGGGTGCCCCGGGCACCCCCGGCTCATCGGTCCGGTCAGTCTTGGTGGAGGCGGTGGAGTTGCCCGAGTCGCTGCTCACCGAGAGCGTGTGCTCGACGTGGTTGGGCGTTGCCGAGAGCGGGAGGCGGGTGGCGTTGACGGCGCCGGTGCTGCCGTGGAGGGAGTCTTTCTTCTTCACTTTAGCGTAGAGGCTCCCGTCCAGGGGCCCTTGCGTGTGCCCAACCTCTGCAAGGGGAGAAACGAACACGAGACCCCAGATCAATTGCTGGCTCTCTGCACAGAGCTAATGGGTCCCATTAGCCGGTGGTTTCGATCTCTTCCGTGCCGCCGGAACGCTTAATGACCAGCATCGCCGTCTCCTCGGCACCCTCCGCAATCCCACGGGCGCCACCATGCAGAGACACCGGAGCCAGACCCTCCCCAGCCCCGTGCCCCCGCGGCCCCC